TCGTTCTAATAAATTTATATTGTAATGTACTCATTCTAATATATTAAAATCATCTTAACATTGCTGGTAGGTTATCATTGCACAAATCAACACACTCTCTACGTTTAAAAAATAAAAATTAGAAGTGTTCTAAACTAATGCGCTGTCTTCGCTGTACCTCACTCACACACGTTTAGTCAGATCCCTCTGCGCGCACGCACAGACATTCTTTTTTGTGTTTAGACAATTTTTTTAGCGCTGCCCAGCAATTTTATCAATAAAATTAGCTTAATCGCTGAAGAGCTACATTATCTTTCTCAACAAGGAGCTGGTAACATCAACGTTTCTAAAGCAATTAAAGCCACAGCTTCACTGTTAATTAGGGATGTAACGATTAACTGCGAGCCGGTTGAAATTGATTCAAATATGTGACAATTCAAATCAGTTGAGATGCTAAACAAATCGCGATTCATTTAGGGGTAGGAGTTTATAAGAATCCATGTCTGAGGGGAACTTACTGTCTTTAGAAAAGTTTACATGGTATGATTTTATTTTCCTCTTGCCTCTGTATAATGCATATTCAATGCATATAAAGTTCATATGTGCACTGCTGCTTTGTTTACAGCGGAAACCAAGGAAATGCTTTACGCGCCACCTGCTGGCAGAAAGTGGATCTGCGTCTCATTCAACTTGTCCGCTGTTTCATGCAGATATTTTTTATGTATAGTTTCACGAAACTGAAGTCAAACCATTCTGTTTTTGCTTCAAATTTCAAAATTATACAATCTAATTTAGATCAAAAACTGCTCATGTATGCAGCATCTTTGTTTGGATCATAATTTCGATCATAATCCTCTAATTTTAAATGGAAAGAGCACAGACAAAGCCTTAGTTTGTTTATATGAGGAGATTTATTTAGTTATTTATTTGATTTGGGGCTTGTTTTAAAATGTAAATTTAGTTTTATTTACATTATATTTAAATTTTGTCATTTAGCAGTCACTTTTATCCAAAGCGACTTACAAATGAGGACAATAGAAACAATCAAAACCAACAAAAGAGCAATAATATGCAAGTGCTATATTAGTATATTATTACAGTGTTATATTTCAATTTGACAAAGAAATGTGCAGCATTTTGTCCAAGCAATAATAAAAGGACACATTTAATTTATAATTTGTCTTAAATCTAATTTTAAAAAAAAAAAAAAAATCGAATCGTGAAATCAAAATCGTGAATCGAATCGTGAGTTGAGTGAATCGTTACATCCCTACTGTTAATAGAGAAACGCGGCAAAACGGTGGTAATTCATACATACACAGCCCCTCTCTCTCGCGCTCTCTCTCTCTCATATAAATGAACACTTGATGGATTACACTTTTCTGAGAATAGAATATTGAAGAGGAGATCGCTAAACTGCAAGCTAACTGGTGTTTTCAGAAAGCAAGCGCATTTATCCACAGTGGAGAGAGAGCGCGTGCAAATGGTTGCCAGGTTGACAAAAACAAATAAGACATTTAGCAGATATTTCCGTATTGTGCAAGTGGGAAGCTCTGTTTCGGGGATTGCGTCTCTATATATCAGGTAACCCCGGTTGTTTTCCTCTGCGGCCAGATTAAACCTCATTGTAGCCTATATATTATGCTCTATTCATTCTTTTTTAGAAACCGTGCACTTTTCTATGCCGTTTTAAACGGTGTTCTTGTATTCAAATTAAGCGTGGTACACTGCAGGGCCAGCTGTATCGATACTCGTATCGTCAGATCTCTGTGACGATACATCGTCGTATCGAACACAGCACTAGTGCTCATGTTTATTCACCAAAATCAAATGCTACAACTAAATCAATGTATGGGAAACACTGGTAATGTATATCGAAATATCGGAAATGTGTTTAAAAATCATATCACCGTTACTGAAAAAAAAAATATTGCGATACATATTGATATTGAATTATTGTCCAGCCCAACTGATAGGTGGTTTGTAAATGTCCACCTATGCCCCCCTGTCTGATCAGTCAGCTGTGTGTGTGTTGTATTCTCAGCTGCTAGGTTGTTCCAGATGCTTCAGTATAACTCCATTTGTCCACAGTGCTATCTGTCTGTGCCAGTGTTCGAGAGTTAGTTTGTTGTTAGATGAACTGTGCTGACCATATGCTCTGTCCCCACCCTCCACCCCAAAGGCCTATAACACTGCCTTACATAGACAGTCCATGAATAAGCCACACAGTCACTCAGCAGTCATTAAAACATGACATGGCCTATGGTCTTCTCAGAGCATTCTCGCTATGCTTTGAAGGTCAGAAGACACATCAAAGCTGCATGGCACGAGTTTCTCAAAGGAATGATAAATCATTGATGTGCACAGCGTTGGGGAGTAGCTAACCAAAAGCTGAGGTGCTGCTAGTAGTAGTATGTAGTTCGGGAGACTTGCCGTAGTTTAGAAATAGTGTAGAATTTGCTGTTGTTTTTCTGATGCTACAGCGATGCACTCAAATGTGTTGTTGGAAAGTCAGGTTCATTCTAGTAAATTGTTTCGTTTCGGATGTGAAAGAACACAAAAGATTTAATGATTCAAATCTCTATGCTGTATTTAGGGTTGGTTGTTTTACATCTAGTTAAGTGCTGCTCATTCTTTTTTTGTTTCTGTTATATTAGGGTCTGTTCTAGTTTGTGTATTTAAAGTAAATGTATCACTTCAAGTGTCATACTGTCACTTCATTTAAAACTCTCTTATTTGTATTATCATAAGGGATTTTTAAATTTATGGCACAAAAACATGGCTCAGGTTAAATTAACAGATTATATCATTGGTTACATTTAGAAAGTTATTTTAAGTAGCTAAAATGTAGCCCCAAATAGTCCCTCAGGTTGTTTTTGTAACTGAGATCCTATTTTGGGCCCAACTGGTCCCATGTGCTTATTTATATTTGGATAAGTTGTACAGAATGTGAGTACTCTAAACACCAATATTATGTTACTGCTGTATCAATTATAGTTGCTTACCACAGATCTGATATGTGAAGCTTGTTTGTTACAGAGCTGTCTGCAGAGGACAGGGTATGAGTATTTTACACAGTGTTGCAACTGTCATACACCCTCTGTTCAGTAGCTCTCTTTGTTAAAGTAAATGGAAATTATTCTTTGGGCTTAACATATATTTAAAGATCCCATGACATGCTGCTTTTTATATAGGCCTAAGTGGTCCCTAGTACTGTATCTGAAGTCTCTTTCCCGAAATTCAGCCTTGGTGCAGAATTTCAGCCACTACGAGCCAGTCCCACAATGAGCTTTCCTTAGGACGTGCCATTTCTGTGTCTGTAGCTTTAAATGCTAAGGAGGAGGAGAGTGGCGGGGCAACTGCCATGCTTCGCTCGTTTGCAAGCCATGATGTCTCTCGAGGGAAAAAAAATTTTGCGCTCTCCTCACACGGTAGTAGCTCATTTTCTCATGGGCGGGCCAAATTCTCTGGGCGGGCAAAGCAGAGAAAGGGGAGGTAACCTTTCCCCGTATGACGACATAAAGGGAAGATTCCAGATTGGGCCATCTGAGCTTTCATTTTCTCAAAGGCGAAGCAGGATACCCAGGGCTCGGTTTACACCTATCGCCATTTCTAGCCACTGGGGGACCATAGGCAGGCTAGGGGAACTCATATTAATGTTAAAAACCCTCATAAAGGTGCCATGGGACCTTTTAACAATGTTTAACAAGCTCCTATCTGGTGTGATCAGAGTTTGAATACGTAGATCAGTTTTATTTGTTGTTTTTTCCTTTCAATTTGAGAAACCTTTGTGTTTGAGTCTCTACAAACTGATTTCCTCTGATGAAAGTGAGAACAGCTTCATCTCAGATGGTAGTCTGTCATTTACATGATTATATTCAGATCATCCAGGAAGTGCCGTCTTGTTGTCCTACATATGTGTTTTATGTGTGCATGCAGTTTTGTGACATGCAGTTTGCATGCTGTCTATTCTGTCAGAAAACGTCTCTCTTGTTCTTTCTTTTTCCCTTTCAGTATGCGTTTACCTGTGTGTGTGTATGTGTGTCTGATGTGTGTGTCCTGTAATGTTTGGTGTGTTTCTGTAGCGTTTGACAAAGGCACTGGATGGATAGCATCGACGCTGAAGCCCTCTACCTGACCACAGCGCAGCACGGGCAACCTCAATGCGAGCTTTCCCTTCCTGCTGTGGAAGTACCTGCCCTTGGCGGGTAAGAACACACACACTTCATGTCTTTCCACCCAGGGTATGAGGTTACCCTCCACCTGCAGGTTTTCCCTCAGTGGGAAACCTCTTTCAAGCAGCTTCTTTTTGAAGCTGGAATGAGAAGGAAAAAAATAACTTGCTCTTTCTTTGTTATTGCTCCTTTTTCTAAATAGTAACCATGCCTGCAGTGTGCAGCCCACCAGATGTCACTGCATGGCTAGCGATGATGTCATGTCCTGTTTGAATGTCTGACAGGCCATTGAGGAAGAAATAAAATGATTACATTCGAATTAATTGCTGAGATATTAATTCTCTCTTTTAGAAGGGTATTCTTTTATAAATTTCTATATATATATATGATTTGTGTATTGCTTTCTGAATGAATCAGAATATTAGAAACACTATATAATTTTGATTTTTTTGTAATTAATGTTATTTGTTACATTGTTACATAGGTCTATTGCTGTTTTTGTGCTAAACAAAGCCAAATAGTGGACCTCAGCCTGCCTGTGGCTTTGTTGTGCTTGTCGCCTTTGACTGCGAGCTTATAACACGACCCTTGTCGCATGACCCTGAGCAGCCTGTTCCTCCCTCCCTTCCGCCACCCCTCCATGCTGGAATAGTGTACAGCCCGTGGCCCGCTGCTGGAACCCGATTGTATCCTGGGGCGCTTCAGCTCAGGGATTACCAGAGAGCTGCCCATCCCCATACAATTCCTGCCGCTCACTCACGCTTATCAGCATCAATCTGACACTTTATTTATCTGACACTGCACTCAGTTCTGCTTTGCTAAGAGAAAAACTCACAAAAAAGTCCCCCTCCATCAGCACTTTCCTTTGTGGGAGCAGGGGTGCAGCTTTTAGTTGTCTGTTCGGCCCATCCTAATCCTCAGTCCCAGCCCAGTGACCAAAGCTCTACGGCCTGTGTTTGTCATCCAGCACAGTGTCGAACTTCATCGTTGTCTCTCTCTGCTCCATGTCTATTTGAGTTTTGTGGAGTCTGATCAGCCCCCATGAGGTGCACTCTTCCCTTTCTTACCCAGCTGTTCCCATGTCACTTATGACTGAACCTTGAAAGACGTACTTGACGGATAGTCGCTGTGGCTGTTTTAGTGTTTAAGTGTGAGAGTCTGTTTTTGTGGAGTCTGTCAGCATTCATTTGAGACTAGTGAAGTGCTGAAGAAAATGGCTTCCTTTAAGCTGGATTTTCTGCCAGAGATGATGGTGGACCATTGCCGTTTGAGTTCCAGCTCAGCGTGAGTAGAGACTTAACTTTAGCTTGGTGTAACTTGATTTGGGTTACATACTAATACCTTCAATTCTCCTTTGATTGATGGTCACTGTATTAGGGTGGAATGTTCTGTATTTTTAATAGTTCATTTTATTAATCTGTGTGGTTTGTAAAATCTTATGAGTGATTAACTGGTTTGTTTACTTTTTATTTGGAGTTGAGAGTAGCTATTTTAAATGTCAGGCAGTATTCTGTGCGAATGCAAGTTTGATTCAGGGTTCATTCAGGAGATGACAGTTAATGCTCATTAGAGGCCTGCAGTGAGGGCTGCTAGTATATGTTTACAACATAATCCTGTAGTAAACATATTGTTTTTCACTATTAGCATGTATTGGAATTCATATTTTATTCACCAGCACAGTCTCCTTACATAAAGGCACAATGCTTCAGAATGAACAATGGAATGATTTGGATATTTCATAATTGTTGCACTGCTGCCTAGGATAGAAAGTGCTTGTTGGTGTGGTGAACAGTTTAAAATGGAAAGTGAAACCCTAGTTTTCACTCCTTGCTGGAGCATCTTGAGTGGCTGTTCCCTGTCTGTTATAGGATGGACTGTATTGCTCCTGATATTATTTATAGGTTTACATATGAAATGCAAGGGTTCATTCTTTGCCGTTTCAGGATTTTTCAGTAACGTGTTTCAGTGTTTTGTCTTATTAAAATCATAAGGGTTGTTTGTGTGAGGCTTAACAACCTCAAAGGGAACAGTTTAACCAAAAACGGGGCAAGAAACTGCTGACTCACCCATGGTTAATTGTCTTCTCTGTTCTGTTTATATGTTGTTTGCTGTGTAAGGTATGCAGAAAAGAGTTCATTGTTGCTATTCAATAGACTTCATATTGAAGGCAGCGTTCATAATGGTATTCATGTTCATTTGGGGTGATAGGAAAGAGATGACTACCATTTAGGACTGGGTATCATTCAAAAATTTGATACCGGTTCCTGAACAATACTTTTTCGATACCAATTTTATGAAATCTGTTTTAACAAAATTACATTACCTCAAAAAAAATGTTGGTTTTATTTTTCAGTTTGTTGAAGTTTTACACACTCAAAGACTGCACAAAAGAACGAAAAAGCGCAATGGAACTAGATGGAACCAACACAATATATCAGTGCAAATAATTTTAATACGTTTAAATAGTTTTCAGTGCAAATTTAACAGTTTCAAGTCAGTATGTGAGGCTCACTTCTGCATATTTAAGAATTCAATCACTCAGCTGTTCAAGAAAATTAGCATGCCTGCTTTTTCAGAAGACAGACAAGCATTGGTGAAATGCAGCCACACTTTTGATCTTTTCCACATTTTTTAGGCTAGGTTTACACACCGAGCACTGTCTCTGTATGTTTCCTCTTCCGCGATCGCTGTTTGGACTCAGAGGAAGCTCATTCGCTGCTCATATGTCACTCATTTTGTGTGTTCATAACCCGCTGTCTCCGATGACGAACATCCATTACACTTCCGTGTTCTGTTCTATACATAAAAACACCCAGAAAAACATTTCTATGCATGAAACATGAAGCTAATAAACACACGATTATGACAGTTTGACTTCATGAGATTCTGCCTATTTTCATAACAATATAGTGTGTTTACTTGAGAAATTAAGTGTAGCAATTAGCTTCATATAAAAGGCTACAAATTACATATTTCAACAGCATTGTAAGACTATAACTTACATTAGGTCGCAATCAGAAATGCCAGTATGGATGAGGATTGTTTAAATTTTTTAAAACGAAAACGCACAAGTGTAGGCCTATACATAGCCTTACATTTATGGGGGTTGGGATGCTTGCACACTACAGCCTCACGAGTTAGCCACGTCTCTGGGTGTAACCGGCTTAAATTGGTGTTTTTCCTTGATGCCTCACCAGAGCCAATCACCAGCACTTGATTTAGCACATCAAGCATGCTGCATGCTTATTGGCTGACGTTGACGATATTAACCCCTTAGTTATTGAAAATTGGTACTGAACGACAAGAGATTTTTTGATACTCCGTGGTATCGAGGCAATTCGGTTGGTGCCTAAAAAGTAACTTGATACCCAGCCCTACAATCTTGATTATTTCTTATCTCTTCCTAGATATCAGATTGTTTTTCTGTTTTAGTTGTTTTTGTTGAATCGATAGTCTTCTGCAACATCGTGTTCTGATGTGCTGTGACTGTGGCTTCTTCCCTACAGTCAGTACTGGTCAGTTCACTAGGAAAAAGAGTTTACAATCCTAAAATGGCTTTGCCCCAGTGAACACCCAGTGATCCTCTGTCCCTGATTAGGTGATCTTCTGGAGAATCTGTGTTATCTGCTTGTCTGAACAAGTTCTGGTTGCTGGGAAATCGACAGAGTAGAAGGTTTTATTAGCTCTGCTGTCCTCGGATCGATAAACGCCATTAATCTGGCTTTTAGCTGCTGGCTAATGCTGCTCTTTGTCAGCAGCACAATGCTGTGTTTATTTTAAAGTGGTCTGTCACTCCACTGATCAGCAGCTGCTAAAGAGAGTGATGAAGAAGTGCTTCAGGCCTGTCAGTGACGTCCCTCACTGCTTGCCCTCATGCTCCACTTTGTCAAGCAGCACTGAGAACTGAAGATGTTCTTTTAATTCATTCTCATCACAGACTTTGGTTATTCTTTTTTAGATATGACATTTTCCTCTCTTTTTAATGTCTAGTTTTTGTGTTTTTTTTAATTTTATTAAAGGGGTCACATGATGCTTTTTTAAAGATCATTATTTTGTGTATTTGGTGTAACAGAATATGGTGACATGCTTTAATGTTCAAAAAACACATTATTTTTCAAATACTGTACATTATTGTAGGTCCTCTATGCCCTGCCTCTCTCAAACGCTTCGTTTTCTACAAAGTCCCTCCCTGCTCTGATTGGCCAGCTGACCCAGTGCATTGTGATTGGCCGAACACCGGAAGCACTCGTCAGAAATGTAACGCCCCTTACCATAATCGCGCGAGCTTCATCTTTCAAAATAAATGTAAAGACATAGCACAAAAGGGGAACAGAGTCGCGTGACAGACAGTGATGAAGCTGGTATGTGTTTGCAGTACACAAGCCACGGTTAAGACAGCTGACTCCACTGTGATGTGTTGCGTGCACATTTGGGCCACATTATGCAAATATTTCCACATAGTGAGGTAGATATGTGGGGGCGTGTTAGAACGAGCCGTTTTAGGGGGGCATGGCAGAGTCTTAACTTGATAAAGAATATCTCTTTGGTTTTGAGACTTTAGTCTTTGCAGCTTCAGGGATCTTATCTATGCACAATCAGCTTGTAACACTCCAAAGAGAAAGGAAAACTTGAAATCGCATCATATGACCCCTTTAAAGTTTGAATGAAATTCACCCCTTCTATTTTCTAAATGCATCATCGATCATAATGTGAACAATTTTTGTTCTTTTTTTAATTATCTGTTGCTCAGTTGCATGACACCATACAGAAGGAAAAGATCTGTTGCTATTTCCGTTTCATCACAGTTTTAAATTCAGTTCGTAGTAAGCTATTAGTTCACAATTTTTTTTCAGTTAATTCTCACCTTAGAAAATCTTGTGCATGACCTGAGAAAACCATTCATGACTATTCATAGATGTTTGAGTAGGGATTTTACTCTAATGTTTGATCTTCACATAGTGCTGAAGCATTTATAATGCAGTGAATGCCTTAGCACCCTGTTCTCTTCTAGCTTGCATTGCTAATCACTAGGGGTGCAACGGTTCTCGGTAAAAAAATATCGAACCATATGGTTCTCCACACACGGTTCGGCATACACTAGTACCGCGGTTCAACTTAAATCTGACAATGCATCTGTAATATGGTTTGTTAGAGTTCGGCTAATGCATGTTTCTGTTGATGGATACAAATTCTGGCTTCCCAATACATTACAACAAGAGCGATGAGAGAGAGAGAAAAAAACAATACGTGGACAAACCAGTCACTCTTTAATCAATGCGAGTGCTTTATGCTGGAATAACTGTCATTTATGCCATCACGTGTTGATAACGCAGGTGAGACCTGAACAGCACATGTTGCTATCCGTGTTTGAACTAAACTCATTTAAGCCTGGCCAGTTTAAATATTAAAGAGCCAGCATTAGTGAACTCGCATGCACAGTGAGAAGATCTGTGTGGTCACTCATCCGAAGCGCGTGAACCCGCGTCTCCGAATGCACGCAAATATTAAGCTCTCTGTGAAGTATTGTGTTTGAATGGACAAATTCACACAAAGATTGTCAAAATGCCCATCTTGGTGAGTATCCTAGCAGACATAGTCGGCTGAATGTACAGGATCAGTGCGTTCTCTTAAAGTGACAGCACTTTCTTAATGTTAATCAAACAGCAACAACACGGAAATCTCTCACTGCTCTTGATTGAATAACTTTAAAGATTAAGCTTTAATTTATACAGTCAGCTATGCAATGTTATTTTACATTTGATTTATTCAATTTCTGTACCTAAAAACTATGTTAGACCTACCTAAAAAAAAGCACTGTTTATTTAGTTTGTATCTTTTTTCACTGTTTATTTATTTGTGCTGTTGCTTGTAGTTAGATTATTTGTTCTTATTTTTATTTGACAATATCGTGTTTTCCCTAAATATAGCACGTACCGAAACCGTGACACAAACCGAACCGTGAATAAGTTGAACCATTGCACCCCTACTAATCACTAGTATCCACCTTATTTTTAACGTTAGAGCGGATGTGGCCATTTGTAAATTGAATGTGTGTGGCTTCCGATGTCGTAGGCTTCCAGTTATGTTAAGCTATACGAAACGGCTTGTTATGCTGCTTGATATTGCAAACTGGTATTATTTTAATGTATTGTTGTAATTATAACTGGATTGTAGTGCAGATAGTTTACGGTTTACTGCACTGTTATTCTTCTAATTATTGACCTATAGCGGCTAATGAGTCAGAGGTCTCTCACATTCACAGAAAATAGCTTAGTTATACATTTGCAAAATAAGTTAAGTAAAATAAGTATTTGTTTTTCATGGCAAATAAGATGTACACAATTGTTTAAATGAATAATTATTTTGCATCATCTTAACCTGAGAACAGAAAATGCAAGGCAAACATCCAATTAATCAGCTTGAGCAATATATTGTCAGTCTAACACTGGTGCACTGTTAGTAAATTAAGCTAGTTGTAATTTTAGTGTTTTCATTCTTGGGAATGATATGAGATTGTTGTGTGCATCCTTTCATTTGCAATGTTTAGTTTTTATCTGTCAGGGAGACTGGAGACATTGAGGGTCATGTCCTTAAGGCTCGTTAAAACAGGCATGTATGTATATATTTTTTTTGTAGAACCAAGAAGATGAATGGGTCTCTGGACCACCCAGACCAGCCCGACATTGATGCTATAAAGATGTTTGTGGGTCAGATCCCCCGGATGTGGTCAGAGGATCAGCTGCGTGAGCTGTTTGAGCCCTATGGTGCAGTTTATGAAATCAATGTTCTTCGGGACAGGAGTCAGAACCCCCCACAGAGTAAAGGTACTTGACCAGTCAGTACACTGCAGATTGAGATATTTTCTATGTCAGTCACTCTCAAAACTTTTAGTCTGTTCCGAAACCTAGTGAGCACACACACACACACACACACATGCAGAGCTGCATAAAAGCAATTTGTCTAAGATGGCAGCCTAATTAATTTAGGAACTAATTAAGGAATCAACGATTCCTTAAAATGCTGCTCACTAGGATTTGGAACGGAGTTCTAGAAATTGGTCTCAGTGGAAATGTTGTCATCTTGGACTTGGTTCACAGACCATTTATTGCATTTGCAGGTTGTTGTTTTGTCACATATTACACCCGTAAATCTGCATTAGAAGCACAAAATGCCCTTCACAACATGAAGATTCTTCCAGGGGTGAGAAAAGGATCTACTTTTTTATATATTATCAATAATAAATTAATCCTCATGCGTGTTGTCAGATGAGCTGGCCTTCTACTATTTATTGCTCTTAAAAATGCATCAAATCTACACACATATTGACATGCTTTTATAAAAGCTTTTTCAGTACACCCAATGGAGCTGTTAAAGCTTTTCAAACAGCTGATTTCTCATGGCGGCTGGGAAAAGTCAGTGTTGATGAGTCAAATGTGAATTTTTTTTTTTTCTTTTTCTTTTTTCCCCTCTCCTCCCTGTACAGATGCATCATCCCATACAGATGAAGCCTGCAGACAGTGAGAAAAACAATGGTGAGTGACTTGAATGTACAAGAGTATTATGACAGTCCTTTGTTCAAATATGCTAATGTTCCAAAATTTAGGGTCAGTTTTTATTTTATTTAAGAAAGAAAAAGCAAAGATACAGTTAACTGATAACGTTACAAAAGATTTTCATTTCAAATCACTGGTTCCACAAAAAGCAAAACTGTTTTCAACATTGATAATAAATATTTATTGAGCACGACTTTAGCATATTAGACTGATTTTTGCAGAATCATGTGCAATGCATGAAAATTCAGCATTGTCATCACAGTATTAAACTACATTTTAAATATATTAAAATAGAACATTTATAGTAAATTGTAATTTCACAATTTCCGTTTTTCTGTATTTTTGATCGAATAAATTCAGCCTTTGTTGAACATGTTTTCTTCAAAAACAATACAAAATCTTATAAACCCCAAACCTTTGAACAATAGTGTATCGCTTGAAGAAATTTCCACAGTGACTGTCAAACAGTTGCACAGAGGCTGTGCTGCCATAACACGCTTTTCTTGTATTTCAGCGATAGAAGACAGAAAGCTGTTTGTTGGAATGGTTTCAAAGAAGTGCAATGAGAACGACATAAGGATCATGTTTTCTCCATACGGCCAAATTGAGGAGTGCCGCATACTGAGAGGCCCTGACGGACTGAGCCGTGGTGAGAACTCGAACGCATGCATATCATCACTACCGCCATCCAAAGCAAAATTACACACACATGATGGGATACCATACACACAAATACAGGAATGGAGGCAGTACTGTGAATGTTTTGACTTCAGCAAAACATCTTCAGCAGCTTCTCGTTTTTCCCCTCAGGGCACTAGTAGTGCACTAATAAACATGAAGTACATCTTCACCAGTCACTCTGTTCGCTCTCATTTAAGTTATTTCGAGGAGGCAGTGTTTTGTGTAATTAATAGTTGCAGACGCAACCCATCAGAGAAAAATGAGACTCAATTGGCTCCCGTCAGCCCAAATGAAAATGACTTCATTTATCCCAGACATGGCAACTGATATCAGAGGTTATATAACCGTGACTGCTTGCAACAAATTGATTATATATGCACGGTCACTTTAATCATTAATTTGGGAATGTCATTCTCCTAGTTTCTAGCTGTTGTTTACCTGCGGTGTAGAGAATCACTGTGATTTAAGTTAACCAAAGTGTAACCAAGGGAACATAACGCACATTGAGGCCCACGCTATTTATTTTAGAATTGGCTTGAGTGAACTTGCTGTCCATCACCATGGGAACTGCTTAAGTGATAGGCATGACCCATATTGACTCGGCAGCCCTCAAACCCATTCGCTCTCCAAAGAGACCGGGCCTGAACCCTGTTTTGATTGAGGTTGTGTTTCTGTGTGGTAGTTTATTAGTACTTCTAGTTTATGCTGTTATGGTTTAATCACAGAGGTTGGTGTCCTTTTGTGATCCAATTTCATAATTGTCAACTCTGTCCGCAGGGTGTGCCTTCGTCACATTCACAGCGAGACAGATGGCCCAGTCTGCCATCAAATCCATGCACCAGTCACAGACCATGGAGGTAAACACACACATTCACACATACATGCATACCATTTCTGCATTTAAGCTTGATATTTCTGTGATTAAGAGATGATAAATGCCTATGCCTTAATGCATAGTATACAGCAAGTACTGTTTCTATATTTTATTGTGTAGAAGTTACACTACCATTCAAAAGTAGTATCATTATAATGTTTTAAAAATGTTTTTGAAAAGTCTCTTGTGTTCACCAAAGCTGCATTTATTTGGTCAATAATACAGTATAATATATATATACAGTGGGTACGGAAAGTATTCAGACCCCCTTAAATTTTTCACTCTGTTATATTGCAGCCATTTGCTAAAATCATTTAAGTTAATTTTTTTTCCTCATTAATGTACACACAGCACCCCATATTGACAGAAAAACACAGAATTGTTGACATTTTTGCAGATTTATTAAAAAAGAAAAACTGAAATATCACATGGTCCTAAGTATTCAGACCCTTTGCTGTGACACTCATATATTTAACTCCGGTGCTGTCCATTTCTTCTGATCATCCTTGAGATGGTTCTACACCTTCATTTGAGTCCAGCTGTGTTTGATTATACTGATTGGACTTGATTAGGAAAGCCACACACCTGTCTATATAAGACCTTACAGCTCACAGTGTTTGTCAGAGCAAATGAGAATCATGAGGTCAAAGGAACTGCCTGAAGAGCTCAGAGACAGAATTGTGGCAAGGCACAGATCCTGCCAAGGTTACAAAAAAAAAATTTCTGCTGCACTTAAGGTTCCTAAGAGCACAGTGGCCTCCATAATCCTTAAATGGAAGACATTTGGGACCACCAGAACCCTTCCTAGAGCTGGCCGTCCGGCCAAACTGAGCTATCGGGGGAGAAGAGCCTTGGTGAGAGAGGTAAAGAAGAACCCAAAGAACTTGCACAATTGGTGGCTGACTAAATACTTCTTTTCCCCACTGTATATGAGAGAGAGAAATTTTATTAAAAGCAATTGTTCTGCTTAATTTTGGAAACAGTAATGCCTTTTTTTTTCAGGATTCTTTATATGGAATGTTTAAAAATACAGCATGAAACAAAAGTTTATTTATAAATGTTGCTTATTCCGTAAAATCCGTGTATCATTCGATCATTCGTTTTTTTGATTTAATATTGCAAGTAGAAAAATGAGAAAACGGCTCCTTTTTCGTTTTTTTCCGAAAAACGAAAAATGAGAATTCAACTTAAATTTTCGTTTTTCGTTCATGGGTGGAAAAATTAATAAACGGCTTGAATATTCGATTTCTACATGTGGGTGGGAATTAAACGCCCCTTTCTGCTGATTGGTCAGCTGAAGATCAAACCGTGCCATTATCAGTTCTTCTGCAGTATCACGCAGCAGAATAATAGTCCTGCAGTTGTACGGATTAATAACCCATTTTATCAATTTCATATTTTTCTCATCAAACAGACTAATGAATAGCTCGACACAACTCGTACCGGGGCAGAGTCTAGACAGGTCTTTCTTCTGTGTAGACGAGCGTTTCTTAAAGTGATAGGGGGTCCGAGAAATAATTTTCTATAGCCTAAAGTATTTCCAGACTGTAAAGTCGCTTTTTTTTATCATGATGCATAGGCCTACTGTGATTTATTCCAAAATGACTTATATGATGCATTTAACGTCAAATAATCTAAATGAAGCCTTTTAAAAGTGTAAACTGCTTTAAATATGACTGCTGCTTATTTCCTGTGCACTTAAATACTGGTCTGTGCTTGATTTCTGTAGTCGCGTCGGTCTGCTTGAGTTTATTTAACCCATCGCAATTTATTGGAACTGTGTGAACTAGAGTGACTACTCACCTTAATGTTGTTCTAAAGGCTTATCACTTAATAACACAAAAATGTCCTGCTCGCACTTGCCAATTTAATGGCAGAGAATGGTGACTTTAGTTTTAGTATTTTTATTTTTATTTTTTTGAAGGGGATGCATATCCGTCGTAAAATAATCCTATGCATCTCGTGGCATATATTCCAAGCATTCTGAAGGTATACTGAGGGTTTGGTGAGAAACAAACCGAAATGGCAAGTTATTATATTTTATGAAAATCTTGCGTTGCAGTGCGAGTGCACAGTAGCTCACTGATATCAATTATAATCAATTTTAATAAAACACAAGACTTATATAATATATTATATATTATATAACTCTAACAGTAGGCTATTTAATATCTGTTGTTCTCCGGTTGTCAGTCATTGAAACAAATTAATTAATTAATTTCTTAATCAAACAAACAGACGTACTGGGTGAGCAGGGTAGGCTATGACAGCTGTCATATCATACCCTGCCATGCCCAGCTGATGAAAAGAATAGTATTTATATCTACACAGAAGAAAGCCCTGTCTAGACTCTGCCCCAGAGTTGTTGAGCTATTCATAAGCCAGTTTGTTTGACAAAAAATAGATTAAATGTAGTTGCAATAAATGCCTTAAGAATCCATACAACTGCAGCAGTGGAGAACTATTATTCTGCTGCGTGATACTGCAGAAGAACTGATGAAGGCACTGTTTGATATTCGGCTGACCAATCAGCAGAAAGGGGCGTTTAATTCCCGCCCAAGTGTAGAAATCGAATATTCAAGCTGTTTATTAATTTTTCTACCCCTGAACGAAAAACGAAAATTTAAGCTGAATTCTAGTTTTTTGGGAAAATATTAAATATTTCAATATTAAATCAAAAAACGAATGATACGCTGATTCCGTAAAATGAATAAACATCTTGAATATTCAATTTCTACACGTGGGCGGGAGTTAAACGCCCCTTTCTGCTGATTGGTCAGCCGAATATCAAACAGTGCCTTCATCAGTTCTTCTGCAGTATCATGCAGCAGAATAATAGTCCTCCACTGCTGCAGTTGTATGGATTCTTAACACATTTATTGCAACTACATTTCATCTGTTTTCATCAAACAAACAGGCTAATGAATAGCTCAACACAACTCGTACCGGGGCAGAGTCTAGACAGGGCTTTCTTCTGTGTAGATATCATACCCTGCCATGCCCAGCTGATGCAAAGAATAGAATTTATATGACAGCTGTCATAGCCTACCCTGTTCACCCAGTAAGTCTGTTTGTTTAATTAATTAGTTTCAAAATAAATATTTTAAACTAAGACAAAAAGGAAGGAATGATAAATTGGCTTGGGTATATATAGGCCTATAATGTTCATGCAAGAACTGTCATTATGACTGACAACCGGAGAACAACAGATATTAAATAGCCTACTGTTAGAGTTATATAATGTAGTCTTGTGTTTTATTAAAATTGATTATAACTGATATCTCACAAGGATATGCACTTGTGCGCAGCGTGAGCTACTGCGCACTCGCACTGCAACGCAAGATTTTCATAAAATATAATAGCTTGCCATTTCTCACAAAACCTTCAGTATACCTTCAGAATGCTTGGAATATATGCCACGAGATGCATATGATTATTTTACGATGGATATGCATCCGCTTAAAAACAAAAAACAAAACCTAAAGTCACCATTCTCTGCCATTAAATTGGCAAGTGGGAGCAGGACATTTTTGTGTTAAGTAATAAGCCTTTAGAAAAACATTAAGGTGAGTAGTCACTCTAGTTCACACAGTTCCAATAAATTGCGATGGGTTAAATAAACTCAATAAGCAGACCGACGCGACTACAGACAAGCGCAGACCAGTATTGAAGTGCACAGGAAATAAGCAGCAGTCATTTAAAGCAGTTTAAATTAATATTGAGTACTGATTGATGTTCACTTGGATTTTTTTCCCCATCGAGGGGGAATAACTTAATACTCTGTCATTTATAGTCGTATGGTAAAATGTATATTTTTAATTGTGTAACGTTACGTTCAAAATAACTACAAAATGTCATGCCTTTGAAAAATAAAGAGAACAACAGAATGCGCTGCTTTAGCGCGTCTCGGTCTACTTGAGCATCTTTCTGGCGCATGCCACAAACATCAACCACAGTGAATACTTGTCTTTTAATAGGCTTCATTTAGATTATTTGACGTTAAATGCATCATAAGTCACTTTGGAATAAATCACAGTAGGCCTATGTATCATGATGTATTTTAAAAGGCTGAGGCACTGCTGTAACAGATGTTAATTATACATATTGGTGAAAACGTACTGTTTATTGATATTTTCTTGGCTGCTTACATTTATTTTTATTAAATTACATTCAATGCTGCATTTTCATTTCTGTTTGCATGTGTCCCGTAGGGCTGTTCTTCTCCCGTTGTGGTAAAGTTTGCAGACACGCAGAAGGATAAAGAACAGAAACGTATCACCCAACAGCTGCAGCAACAGATGCAACAGCTCAATACTGCCTCCATGTGGGGAAATCTTACAGGACTGAACTCACTAGGGCCACAGTATCTTGCAGTGAGTACACAGGACAGATCCTGTTGTATCTGAGGTCTATGCACGTAGAAACCATGCCTATAATTAATAATTACATATTAATTAACAGATAATGGCACATGAGTATTTACAAGATTATCAAGAAGTGTAGTATTAACATGATATCAGTATCTTATTTTATTTTTTAAATATCACTGTTGTCTTTAGTGCCACTATATTGCGACACCCTTAGCTCCATCTAAAATATGTATATATTTTTTTATTCAGACTGTAATGCATTATTATTTAAACAGTCTGGAAATACTTTAGGCTACAGCAAATTATTTTGCGGAAGCCCTATCACTTTAAGAACCACTGGTCTACACAGAAGAAAGACCTGTCTAGACTCTGCCCCGGTACGAGTTGTGTCGAGCTATTCATTAGTCTGTTTGATGAGAAAAATATGAAATTGATAAAATGGGTTATTAATCCGTACAACTGCAGCAGTGGAGGACTATTATTCTGCTGCGTGATACTGCAGAAGAACTGATGATGGCACGGTTTGATCTTCGGCTGACCAATCAGCAGAAAGGGGCGTTTAATTCCTGCCCACGTGTAGAAATACAGCTCAATACTGCCTCCATGTGGGGAAATCTTACAGGACTGAACTCACTAGGGCCACAGTATCTTGCAGTGAGTACACAGGACAGATCCTGTTGTATCTGAGGTCTATGCACGTAGAAACCATGCCTATAATTAATAATTACATATTAATTAACAGATAATGGCACATGAGTATTTACAAGATTATCAAGAAGTGTAGTATTAACATGATATCAGTATCTTATTTTATTTTTTAAATATCACTGTTGTCTTTAGTGCCACTATATTGCGACACCCTTAGCTCCATCTAAAATATGTATATATTTTTTTATTCAGACTGTAATGCATTATTATTTAGATTCCATTAGAGCCTTTTAATCAGAGTCTAAAGAGCCTTTCGCACCGCGGGAACCTTTTCACAGTACCAGAACTAATTGTGGAACTACCCACTTTTTGGTGTTTTCGCACCGCCAGAACTGGGTGCGATTTTTAGTACCGGACTGCCTTTTTTGAGAACCAAATTAGCTCCTACTCCGGAGCAGTTGTCGTTGGAGATTCTTAGTCCTCCTGTCCGTTCTTTCAATCGCTTTACGTATACGTCGACATTCCATGTCCATTATTGTGAAACCCGCGAGACACAACAAAAACACCGCTCCGATCACAGCGTCCTCCATCCTCCTGTTGTTAATGTTGTTGTTCTTTGTTTCTGTTGTTGAACGCCACACACAAATGACGTCGCTGTCGACCGGCTTACGTCACTTCTTAGTTCACACACTCAGTGTGAATGCAACCCTTTAAATGGTACTGGGAAATAGTTCGCACAAAATCGTTTCAGTACTTTAGTACTGTACATTTAGTTCTGGAACTGAAGCGGTGCGAAAGACCCTTAATTCGCCTTTAAAATGTTGCTGTGTTTTTCTGCTGTGTTTGAGCACATGGGCTCCAGGTCTGTGTTTGGCCATTATTTAGATGCATTTAATTTGGCTTCTCAAAATCCTTGTTGATTGTTTATGATTGGCTACTCCTAAAACTCAGGTACTGTTTACTGGTTTTTCTCATGTGTGCCAGCATAGATGTGTAACCCTGTTTGAATGTGTTAGTGCTGCTCCATGGGTGTGCTGTGAAAACTATTTCTATCTTCATCTTTCTCCCTTCTAATTCTTCTCAGTCCTCTTCTAATTTTTATATATCCCTTGAATGTCCACATTTCGCTCCTCTTTGTTTCTGTCTCCACATGTGCTCCTGCTTGTCTTTATTTTGCCTTGTTGCCTGATTTCTCCTCCTCCTCCTCCTCTCCTCTCCTCCTCCTCTCCATCACAGTCCTGGATGTAGTCCTGACTCTCTCTGTTCTCTGTTTTGATGTAATGTCTAGCTTTATTTGCAGCTTCTACAACAGTCTGCGTCCTCTGGAAATGCACTCAACAATCTCCATCCAATGTCAGGTGAGAGTCTGATGCGCTCTGCTCCACTCAGACCCGTTAGAGAGCATGGCGGCTGTTAGTTAGCCACTTGTAAACCTGTTATATTGCATGCCTATAAAATTTGTTGAGACTGCCTGTTAGTTTTAGGTCAATGAAAGAAGGTTGTGCGTGTGAATGTTGGCGATATTGATGCTGTTTTGATGTGGGTGGTCTGCTATCTGCGGCAGGTCTGAATGCCATGCAGAATTTGGCTGCATTAGCGGCAGCAGCAAGTGCTACGCAGGCCACCCCCACAGGTAGCAGTGCTCTGACCACCTCCAGCTCCCCTCTCAGCGTCCTCACCAGCTCAGGTACGCTCTCCGGACAGCCTGCTCAATCTGCCTGGGATGCCTACAAGGGTTGGTCCCGCTTTTTAATCTCCTCCTGTCCTTAACTTTGCTTCTTATCAGTCTCTTTGTAAGGTTCTTGGTCAATAACAAATGTTACAAGTGCAATACGTTGGCTTTAGTTAATGCATTAGGTATCATGAACTAACAATTAACAACTACTTAAATTTTTTTTTATTAAATAGCAATTATTGAGGCTGCACCATGCATTCATTATTTAAATAATGAGCGCGAAAGAAAGAAGGTCAAGGGCCAGATTCATTAAGCATTTTTAAGACTAAAATTCCTCCTAAGAAAAAGCATTCTTGTGGGCAGTGTTCCCTCTCGCGCGGCCGCGCAGAAGAAATAATGTGCCGCGCACATGCAAAAATGAGTTGGGGAAAGCCATTTGATTGAATGCCAGTAAAAGCGAATGAATTGCAATGCTCTGGCGAACCGGTGAATGCGGTTTGCAGGTTTCATAGAAAGAGAATGTGCGCCATATGAGTCGCTGTAGAAACCGAATACTTCAATGGTTGCAGTGCGCTCAAGCGGCAACCTCCCCCTCTCTCTCCTGAAGCCAACAAGGAAGTGACTTATACTGTAATTCATGGACTGGCTGCTAGAGGCTGGCTGCAAAAGGGAGTCATTCCCATAGACTTCCCATGTTAAAATGCCCAACTTTACAGCAGAAAATAAACATGTTTACAGCCTGGTTCAAAAAATTATTTTGGTCTATATAGCTAATTTTGCCCTTCATGACAACTGTGAGGGGGGTGAATTTTTTTTATAACTTAATTATACGTTTTTAATTATATTAAGCCTTTAAGTTCTGCATAATTAAGGGCGTGGCCACTTGAGTGACAAGTGGATTGCCACTGCTGTCACCACCGTCGAGCTAGGTGGGCGTGGCTTGAGCAGTCTGCTCCCGCCTTTGCCCATTTTCGATTATCCGGGAGTGACACGCGGTGACGCGCTGCCAAGATGGCGACGGCTGGCTCCGCCCACTTTTGAGCTTCAAAAACGGCTCTTCGTAAACCTACGGGTGACGTCACGTTTTTATACAGTCTATGGGTGTGCTCAACATGAGAACCAGCGCAAATGCAATGATGTGAAATAAACGTCATGTATTAAAGAAGAGTGGCTTGATTAAGTGCAGGAAATAGCGGAGGATGGGCACAGAACAGTAACAACACTCAGAGACATTTAGCTACAGTCACACACACTTGTATTGTGCAAACTACTTAATAGGGATGCATAGATAGCTTTAGAAGAATTCATATGTTCACGTTATTTTTATTTTGTTTTCTATTCTATTCTATCAGTTTAAATAGTTTGTTTTTTATATTATGTTAGGCCTATATTATAAACCTAATAAATAATTGACCTTTTTTCAATGGAGTTTCTTCTTTTTTCAATGGAGTTTCTTCCTCATCAAGGCTGTATTTATTTCAAAAATAAAGGGGGAAAAAAACAGTGATATTGTGAAATATTATTGCAATTTCTAATATTGGTTTCCTATTTTAATACCTATACTTTAAAATATAATTTATTCCTGTGATGCAAAGCTGGATTTTCAGAAGGATCATGTGACACTGAAGACTGGAGTAATGATGCTGAAAATTCAGCTTTGCTTCACAGGAATTCATTATATTTTAAAGTATATTAAAATAGAAAACGTTTATTTTAAATTGCGATATTTCACAATATTATTTTGTGAAATAATATTCAGTAATTTTTAATCAAATAGATAGGCTACAGCCTTGAGCGAAGACACTTAAAAAAAAAAAAAAAACTTTATTGATCCCAAACTTTTGAACGGCAGTGTATATTATACTAATGTTTTCTTAGGTAACCTAAAATGTACATCATTTAGTTACATCAAGGGTCAAATCAAATATAAATAGCACATTAAAGGTAAAAGTTACCCATTTTTTTTGCGCGTGCTGTACAGGTCTGGTATAAAGAATGTTTTTGCTCAGGTGCCCGAAATGTCCGCCCAATAGAGAAGTTTTGCTCAGCAAGAAAAAAAATTTGAGGGAACATTGCTTTTGGGGGATTTTGGTGTTGATAGTGACATTTGCGCTTGGAAGCAGATACACCTCAAGTCATCAGTGCCAAAAAAAAGGCCAGAAGTTATAGTGTCGTTTTTATTAATCTAAGTTGGTGTTCATTCGTAACACTTGAACTAATGTTAATTTATGTTTGATATTAAAGATGTATTAGCATATGTAGAAATTTTAACCAAGCTTAATAAATGCTATAAGTATTGTTCAATGTTAGTTCATGACAGTTAATGTTAAAGGATTAGTTCACTTGCAGAATAAAAAATTCCTGATAATTTACTCACCCCCCATGTCATCCAAGATGTTCATGTCTTTCTTCAGTCGAAAAGAAATTAAGGTTTTTGAAGAAAACATTTCAGGTATTTTTCTCCATATAGTGCACTTCAGATTGCAGTTTCTATTTAGCTTCGACAGGAAAAGGAAATTTTTATTCTGGAAGTGAACTAATCCTTTAACAAATTGAACCATATTGTAAAATGTTGCCAGTTTCTCCAAACCTGAACGACTGTAAGGATTTTTTTTTTTACATCTCTTGTTGCTCATGCATCATTCTACGTACCCTTAGTCTTGATACTTCCCATCAGTTGCTTCAAAAAGCTGTCTTTTGTGATTTGATCACTGACATTGACACTGTCTGCTGTTTCTTCTCTGTCTGTGAAATTTGAATTGGTAAGATGTGTGATGGCTTAGTAATGTGTCAGAGCTGGTTCTTGTTTTCTCTCCTCTACACAGCGGGTTCCTCTCCCACCTCCAGTACTAGTTCTTCTGTGAACCCCATGGCGTCTTTAGGTGCTCTTCAGTCTCTTGCTGCGGGTGCTGGAGCAGGTCTCAACATGAGTTCCCTAGCAAGTAAGAAAAAGAAAGTTTTTTTTTTTTATTAATTGTATGAGGTCTTTAGAAACTAAAGATCCTGTTTACACCAGTGTTCATTTCGTTGACACATTTTTTTTTTTACGTCATTTGTTTCACCAACGAAAACGACAAACTATGATGGAAATCTATTGATATTTTTGTCTACAAATAAAAATTAGACAAATGTTTGGGAGGGACTATTTGGGAAGAGATTGATTCAGAAGGAATCTGCTACGCGTGGTTAGGAGGTTCGATGTGTACAGTCTTAACTGTATCATAGCTTATTGATCTATCTGGCGGACATAAGCTAACATACACATCTCATAAAATGTTCAAAAATGTCAATATCTGGGAGTAAGAGAAGAGCAGACATATGGATAAATTTGATGACGCAAAAGAACTCAATTCAGTCCGGTTTTCTGAGCACACACACTGAAGCATACACACAGAAAGAGTTTTCACATGAACAGAGAATTACACGCAAAATGATGTTGAATTGTCCATTTTGACGAGTATTCATGTAAACAGTCAATTATGTCTTAAGTGAACAGTAGGGAGAATATTGGATGTGTATCAGTACATTGCATCCGTGCATTCAGTTTTAAAGGGACAGCAGCCTAATTTAGTTGCTATTGTCCGAGTCATTTGTTGATCAAGCAACAAAAGAAAGGCAGAAAATCACTCGCTGCTCTTGACTGTATAACTTTAGTAGCCCTAATAAAGATTAATCTAAATTCATTTATAAAAATAAATGTCTGCTTGAATGAAGAATGTGGTAATCAAGTCGTTATAAAGAATGCATAATTAGCCTATATAACCATTGGTATTTCATTAAAAAAAAGACCATGTTCTTGTTCTTTATATTAAAATGAAATAAAACCACTTCTCATAAAGGCATGTTGTGTGTCACTGCAGTTAAATTGGTGTCTATCATGATAAAACCTTAATATCTAACCTATATAATGAGTTTGGAAATTTTAGAGAAATGCTTAATAAATGCATTACACTGTAAATAAACCCATTAGATTTTAGCTCAATAAATTAACTGTAGGTTTAGCTGACTAAAACTAAAACAATTCAGAAGATTGAAATGACAAATTAAATGGCATTTTAGTCAAAAGGCTATGACAAAAACAAAATCAAAATTTGCTGTCAAAATGAACACTGGTTTACACCCGTTATTGAAATCCATCTCAGGTGACGTGAACACAAGTGGTCAGCTGAGACGCGTTACCAAAAAAAGTACACAAGTCAGCACACTGTTGCATTTAAATACTTTAAATCTTTTTTTTTTTTAATCCTTTGCATTATAGTACCAGTATGATGTGATCGTATGTATTTTGAAGTACCTCTAAATGTACGTTTTGGACCCCATTGGCATCAATGTTAAGTACTGACCACTCGTGTTGGAAGTGCCTCAAATGGATGTTAAATGGGATCTATGTGTCATTCCTTTTTGTTTGAACTTTCTTTGCCTCGTTTCTGTTTCTACTCTGTCTCCGTCTCTGAATGCGGTTTCTCTGTATTTATCAGTAGTTTAATATGTCCTCCCCTGTGTGTGTCTGAATGCTGAGCTGTGTTTGTGTGCGCAGGCATGGCTGCGCTGAATGGTGGTCTGGGCAGCGGAGGTCTCTCGAACGGCTCGGGCAGTGCTATGGAAGCTCTGACTCAGGCAGCCTATTCTGGGATCCAGCAATATGCCGCTGCTGCTCTTCCCAGCCTCTACAGTCAGAGTTTACTGTCCCAGCAGAACGTTAGTGCCGCTGGCAGCCAGAAGGAAGGTGAGCACATGAATGATCTGATGAGCTTTGAGCAGCTTTTCAGGTTGGGAGATTGCCAGCCTCTGTGTAAGATAAAACTGCTAGTTTATGCTAGCAGGGTCAGTTTTTAGGGCATGTGTTGGCCCATGATGCTTTTCAGTGTGTGTGTGTGTAGATGTGGCTCTTGTGATCACCATCTTAAGGATTCATTCTTGTTTTAAATATGCTGCAACAGCAAGTCCCAATCAGAGCGCGGGTAAGAGATAATTATCACTGTCCACAATGCCCATTTTCTACATTTTGGTTTGTTTAAAAGTAAATGGAGATCCATACCAGCAGCTCTCTGCCAATGAATTCATTGAGCATTCTGTGATTAAAAACAACTTCAAGCCTGCTGGAAGATGCTTCTGTGCTGCTACTTTGTTAACATTTGCGATTATCAGTGTTGAAAACAAAGGGTTTCTATTTTTGTGGAAACCAGGATATGTTATTTCATTAATCTTTGTTGAATAAAAAAGCTCTAAAGCTAATTTTCTAAATTCTAAAATTATAAATGTATTTTCTGTCACATTTGATCAATTGCTGAATAAAAGTTCAGAAAAAAGGCCACATTTGATCCTTTTTTTATATATTTGTGACCCTGGACCACAAAACCAGTCACAAGGGTAAATTTTTCGAAATTGAGATTTATACATCATCTGAAAGCTGAATAAATATGCTTTCCATTGATGTATTGTTTGTTAGGATAGGACAATATTTGGCCGAGAAAATCTGGAATCTGAGGGTACAAAAATATTTAAATACTGAGAAAATCGCCTTTAAAGTTGTCCAAATGAAGTTCTTAGCAATGCATATTACTAATCAAAAATTACGTTTTAATATATTTAATATATCTTCATGGAGCATGATCTTTACTTAATATCCTAATGATTTTTGGCATAAAAGAAAAATCGATTATTTTGACCCATACAATGTATTTTTGGCTATTGCTACAAATATACCCCAGCGACTTAAGACTGCTTTTGTGGTCCAGGGTCACACACATATATATATATGTATGTGCATGTGTGTGTGTGTATGTATATGTATATACAGTCGCAGCTATGATTTCAAGTCTGTAGCAAAACTCACCCACAGTAATTATGACGGTAATGCTTAACCAGACCTTCATTAACCTAGACAATTATCCAACTTTACAAATCAGGCAATAAACCTGTTGTTAATTAATTCAGTTCAAATGTTTTAACAAAATACAGACCCTCCAATATGATAGTTTTGCCTACATTAATTTTATCAACTTGGGGGGGATGTCTTTATTATTTTCTGTGGTGATCAGCAGCATGCTTAAATGGTATTTAACACAGAATGTTCTTTTAACTAGGCAAGGAGAATTAAGTGTCAAAGCTTCATTGAAAATAAAAAGGTCGCTCTAGGGCTTTAAGAGTCAAAAGTTCTCTTTGTTTCTGTCTGTTTCCTCTCTGTCTTTCTAAAGGCCCCGAAGGAGCAAACTTGTTCATCTACCATCTGCCACAAGAGTTTGGTGATCAGGATTTGCTGCAGATGTTTATGCCTTTCGGCAATGTTATCTCTGCCAAGGTCTTTATTGACAAACAGACCAACCTTAGCAAGTGTTTTGGTGAGTTGAGCCTCATTCCAGAAACATTGTGCTGGTTTTGTGTTGATTTTTGAGTTCTGAAATCAGAAGCAAGCTTTAGATGCGTGTTCTATGCAGTGGGTAACTAGAGTCTGGCTCTTTTGTTTTGTGTCAGGCTTTGTTAGTTACGACAATCCAGTTTCGTCCCAGGCGGCCATTCAGTCAATGAACGGTTTCCAGATTGGAATGAAGCGGCTGAAGGTGCAACTTAAACGATCCAAAAATGACAGCAAGCCATACTGAGTGATTTTACTCTCAAATGGACTTGGTTTGAAAATGTTTTTCTGGTAAGTGGAGTGTGACGTTGGAAAGTTAGAATGACCCCACCCTCTCTTTAACACCCGCCTTTCCTAATCCTCCTTTTACTTCTCTGGCCTTTCCTACATCTTCTCTCTTAACCTTCAAAACAAAGACAACATGCAAATTGTTAAGAATTTGTTCCAAGGAGTTAATTTTTGTTTTCCACATTTATATATCTAATTGTTTTGTTGATCTTTTATTTTCCTTTTTTTTTTTTTTTTTGGTGCCATATTACAAGTTTGCTGTGTATAAATCTTGCGTCAAAGGATGTTGCACAATGAAAGCCAGCCTGTGCGACTGCTTTCAGTCCCTTAGACTGTTGATCACCACGGTCTGGCCCCTGTAGATGTTCTCCTGTGTTTACGCTAGACTCTTTTAGTACATTGGGACAGTGTAATGCTGATGCCTCCTACAATGCTGCCTTTCTAGAAAATAAAGGAGGCTTGCTGCATCGGTGCAAAAGATAATCAGTCAGTCACCTGAATATTGTTTTGAGCATCTGGAAGGTCAGGCTGCACTCCACTAGACTCCGTTTTCATGGATGCCTTTTTATTTCATTCATGTATTTATTTCACTAATTTATTTATTTATTTTAATGTATCGGTGTCTTCACAATGAGGGTGATGTAACATTGCTTCAAAGTCTGTTTTATGTATTCTGTTGGAGGGCTCAGCTAAAAACCGTAATGTTGATGCTTTCTGTTTGTTTTTATTCACATTCATATTTTTACATTCTAAAAAGACAAACACTAAACAAGGGTATTATATCCCATGTGGTGGTTAATCATTCAGTATTGGTAGTTTGCAGGAGATGCTACACTTACTCTCAGGACATTCTCACCATTCTGTCAGACCAAAACTTCTCGCCCATTATTCTACTCACCTGGTACGTGAACATTTCTAAAGATCTGTATGAAATAAGTGCTTCATTTCAGTTCACGAATCCTTTCTTAAAGCCTCAAACAAAAACAAACCTTTTTTTGACCCAAGATTTTTGCTGAAGAATCGCATGGTAGCACATATGGGTTTTAAAATTCCATTTGTATAGATTTTTTTTTTTTTAGCATAGACACGATCTACAACACAATTTTTATTTTGATGGTCATTTGATACGTTATCCTACGCCTCAATTGAGGAGGTTGGCGTTGAAGCTTTTAGCAATATTTGTATTCTGGAGAAGAGTGAGAGACGATACTGCCAAGAAAAGAAAGAAGGAAGTTTGCAATTGCTGAATTCATGGCCGCTTAATTGTCAGAGTAATTTGAACAGAAATTTCCTAACTTTCGTGGCAATTTGTGTTCAATAAGTATTTAATCTCTGTGTTTGCAGGTGGTCTCTTGTACCCTGGTGTATGGAGACTCGTCCTGCAATCCTATTCTAGTTTGTAATTCTAAGTTACTCCATGCAACTTGCTTCAGTTGACCATGGCAGTAAATAAGTGTTCAAATCGTAATCAAATGTTAATGCCAATCTGAGTCCTGCAGGGTCATGAGGTAAGATTGTTTTTATGGAAACTTGAGAAGAAAACATTATCCAGATAGTGTATATTACTTAACTATTATGCCTTTTCTATTTTTATAGAGGTTTTATAATATTGCCTAAATAATTTCTCTGAATTAAAGCGGTTGTTTAAAAAAAAAATCAACTCAAAAGATTCAACAGTGTTTTTGTAGAATCCTATTGTGAAGTTGTGTGGATATATTCACCGATTGTTTAAACAACGGATGTGTGGCCCTTTTCACTAGTTGTAGTGGCGTCTGTTTAGTTAAAAAAATATGAAAATAATACCAAGAGTAGTTTTTTTGGGGTTTTTTTTCTTTTTAAGTCTGAAGCAAATCTACGGTTCAGTCTAAAGTTTATACTTCGTGTAATATCTCTAAACTAAGTACATAATTTACATGTGTTGTGACGAATGCTGAAATGTTATGATCAGAAGTCGTTTGTTTCATTTCCTCACAACATAACTTGAGCTCGGAGTGGCAGTTAGTGAAAATCGTAAATTGTAGATTATTTTCTTTTGTTTTGACATTTACCTCACTATTGTCGTCGCTGTTCGACACACTTGTATTTATTAACGGCGCTTTTTATTTTCACTGATAAATTGCGAATAAGCCAATTCATGTTAACCTCACTATCTATTTTCAACGAGTGCAGATCTCAGTCCGGGTGAGGGAACGAGTGTGCCGCTGTCTGGCAACTTGTATAGAGATGCCGGTTTGATCAGTTTGTTTCATACGTTAGAGATGCTTTAGACTGAACCCAGGTGTGAAGCCCCTCTTGAAGCGCTTAGATGCGAGTGCAGGGAATGTCCAGTCCCTGATCTGTGCCTCTGTTCAAATAAAAGCAGGATTTACATGCATTACAAAACCATTAAGTGGAAGAAAAATGGGAGTGCAACACATCACAAATTTTGAACAATCCAAAGATTCTTGTGAACTTGTTCTAGGCAGGGATTTTTGTTTGTTAGGCAGAATTTTTTCATAGTTTTGTTCCTTTTTTTTAAATTTTTTTTTATCCGGATTGACTGGCGTTTGTGCAAAGATCTGCGGATTTGTGCGCCTTAAAACAGCTCACAAGTGCAGAGACGTTCCACTAATGTGCCAAACACATCGAGTCTTAAATTTCTGTATACGTTTAATGATGATACTCTGTTACGCGCTCTGTGTCCCATCATGTTGTTGTCCTTCACAGAGTTCAATGTAGCTAAATTGTATCCATTTGTGTTTCCCATGACGGGTGTTTTGTGAACAAGAACCAATATGAGCAGCTCCAAATATGCATTATTCCACAGTCCCTCACAATTCAAAAGTGAAGCACAAAATAAAAGGACTTTCACTGAAAGAGCTGAAACGTTGAAGCACAATTTTTCTTTTTGTCTCCCTCTCTTCCCCTTGGTCTAAAATCGAAATGCGGTTGTGAGAAATCGAACATTTTCATTTGAAATGTTGCTGTCGAGGACAGTGTTGTCGTAGCTGTAGTAGGCAGGTTGTGTTGTCTCTCGGTGTTGTTGATGTTTAATGTTATTCCCTTTGTTCACTATTGGCATGGTGCTTATTCTTCCCACTTTTCTTCATCGTTTCCTGTGTTGCATTCAATGTTTTGTGTTTAGATGATGTGTGCACCTTCGAAAGCCTCCTCCTCATGCAAACATAATCATTCATGATTTTCTTTTTCATCCCCTTTCCTTTTTCCGTTGTGCTTTAACCTAGGTTTGTTATTCGTTTTTTTTGTTTGTCTTTGTTCTAGATATCTTCGTACCCGTTTGTCATCGTTTGCCTAGCATGTCGATGTGACGTCAAAAGTTCATCGTCCAGTCCGTTGTCCTCTTCGCTTCTCTGACGCTTGAAATTTCACACTTGACCTTTTTGTTAACTTTTGACGCTTATTGATTACTTATTTTGTTTGTTCATTTGTCATTTGTGCTGCCAATAGGGAGCGTTAGAAAGACTGCTAAAAGTGTAAAACGTTTCATGAAAATTGTTCTGAGCAAAGAGTCTATTTTTCTAGAACGTACAAACACTATAACCACTAGATTTTTGCCGAAGCTTTTAATTTTTCAGATTTTGTTCTTTATTGATTTTTATTGTTTTCCAGCAGTCTTCCTAGCGCTTCTGATTGTACTCCTTTTTGGTTTTTGTTTTTCTTCTCAAAGCAGCCATTCAGTTTATAGAATCACTTGTGTGTTCAAGTGTGGGTGTGTTTCCCTCTTTCTCTCACTTGTTAGTTCTAAACCTTTTAGAGGATGTTTTCGTCACATTTTGCTGAAATCGAGGATAAACTTTGTAATTTTGTGTTAGGTTAGTTGGCATGATGTAATTTTGGGAGTTTCTATAAACAGAGTGACATTACAATAGACACTTGAATTGCCTTTTTTTTCTTCTTTGTGTGTCGAGCCAACACAGGCACATGTTTTTCATTTCCTTATTGTGTGAAAATCAGGATTAGTCTGAAATAATGCATAGAATGAGCAAAGTTGAATATCTTGTCACAGGTAAATATTAAGCATGCATGTTTTTTTGTAAGTGCACTGAAATCCTCAGCAAAATGTGATCTAGTTCTGTTTCAAAAATTCAAGATGAATAAAGTGGTGCCAAAAGTTTTGCATGTTGCTGTTGGTTACATTTACAGTATGTTTCACATCATGCTTATGGCTCGTGCTGCAATGACATGTGGTCTCATTTTGATGGTTTAAGATTTAAAAAAACAATACAGTGTGTGTTTAGGTTATGGGTTAAAGTGAGTTTTAACAATGTATTGTTCTAAAAATTGAAGTGGGTTTCAAATGAGTCCTTAGAGATAAATTGTGCCTACAGCAGCAAAAACACATGCTCTTCTTGATGATGTTCAGTTAATGAAAATGTGTTACGACCTTATAGCTGGTCTGTTTTACAGAGCTTGCAAGCATTTTCTTTTTTCTTTCCCATTCTGACATCTGTACAAGTTGTGACGTTCTGGACTGATTGGTAGAGCTCAACTGCAGCTTTGCCCCCTTAGCCTTTAGTTCACAGGCATATCTCCACAAATGAAGAGCTACATTTGGAAGTTTATTTTCTCTCTCTTTTTTGAAAAGATGTATTCTGACAGACTAATCTATTTGGGGGTTGAGGTGGTTGTTTTCTATGTAGATTTTAAGCTGCTGTTTTGTTAGTTTAAATGTACTCTTTCCTGTGGGATGTTTGTCATTACTGGTACAGAGTGATTGTATTTAACATTTAAGATTTGTACAGATTTTTCTACTTCATAAGTTGTTTCACAATGTAAATCCCAGTAAGTAGAAGCATGAAGACAGTAACACCATGACCAAACTTCAACCTGTACAAAGTAACCAAAATGCAAACACAAATCAACTCCACAAAACAGCCTTTAAATAAAGATGTTTTTTTTATTAGTTGTTTTGTCATTTAAGTTGTGGTTTTCATTGGAAGTGTAGAGAGTGCAGAATTTATTTAATGTCTGAAACAAATGTGTTGTATAAGGTTGGTTAAGGATTTCACGCTACTGTCTCTACAGAAATATAGCAAAATTGACACCCATGAAGCAGGCATCTGGTCGTTTTTTTAGTTTGTGTGATTAAACAGTTTGAAAACATTCACACACATTGTGTCTGAATTCATTTTTTCTGAATTTAAAGATGCCAGAAATGTGAATTCAAATGTGACTTTAGAGTTTTTCAATCACATGACAATTCATGATTTACTACTCATTGTACTTTAAATTATTTATCCTAGTCAGTACTATAAATAAATATGCAATAGCTGCTGCTACAGTCAGATTGGTTGTAATTGGTTGATTATATATGCTAGCCATAAACCAATCAGACAAATGCCATTTTTGTTAAAGTCCTGTATTCAGCAAACTCAAAAAGCATGAAAAAGTTGAGAGCTTTCAACAAATGAAAACAATTAAAAGTGCCATTTACCCTTTACTGCCTCCTCTGCAATATTACATTAATGAAGAACTGAGACAATTCAAACTTTACACCTGGTAATCTTTTTTTAATGCACTTTTCTTTTTTAAATCATGGTACCAGCAGTTGTCACATCAACAAGGTAGTCATTGTTTATATGACAGAAGTTAGGGAGGCCATATGTTGAACTACACTGAATGGCTCAAGTTCCACATCAGTAGGTAGAAATGAACTGATTTACCAAAAAAAACCAGTTTCTGTCCATCAGTCCTGCACCTGTTTGGAAGGTAAGTGTCAGAGTTTACTATGGTTTTTGGAGGGGTTGTCCACATCTGTACCGAAGAGAGGAGACAGGTGGTTATACTTGGGTGTGATGTTCATTCGGACAGTTATTGAATATGGATCCTGGCCGACGATACGGTGCAGGTTTGCACTGTCCTGCTGGAGCTCTTCAAGACTCGTCTCAGTTTTCATCACGCCACCGCTCTTAACAGAACGGTCCACTTTTTCCGGGTACAGAGCATCCCCTATGTGTTAACGAAGAGAAACATTGTTTGATAAAGAGGCGATAATTAGCAGAAATGTCTTAATTTATTACCTGGTAAAACGCTTGCAAAGCAGTCAGGCGCCACCAGGTGAATAGGCAGCCACTGTTCGCAACCCTCCAAAGACCTCTGCCAGGCAAAGCGATGGAGATCTGCGAGAGCTGGACACCGGCACATGCGTCCAAGCTCGTAGAACTGAGGTGGAGCCACCCAGATCTCCTTTGATTTATAGCTGTGCAGCACTTCAGAAGGACTGGACCACTAAGAAACAAGGCAGTGTGTATTTCCCAAAAGTTAAGCATCATTTGTACTAGTTCGGATGAGATTGAATGACTTAAAAGCTACTATAAAAATGTTATATTAATGAATAACGTGACGTTCAGCCACTTGCGTTAAGTGGGCGCTGGCGAATGAGCGCTAGCCTCATGAATATTAATGAGCTCCAAGAAATATGCCGCACGTCAACACTGCGAAAAGTCCGAGTTATTTCGCCAGCTGGACACAAATTGGTCGCGAATGCGTAAATTGATCAAATATACCTTCAATGCAACGTAAGTCTGATATGTCGTTTTTAATCTAACTGCCAACGTGCTAATTACTGTTCAAAACGCACCTTGAAATGAACTATTTCCTTCTCGTCGTGGAGCGTGTGTGGCGTGTCGCGCAGGCAGCAGATGTAGAAGGCCGTGTCGTAGCGCCTCTGTTTGCCGTGCATGCCTACGGGGGTCAGCCAGTTGCCCCACTCGTGTAGAGCCCAGATGTTGGGCAGACACTGCAGCTCCTTGCACATCTTAATAAAATTCGCCGAGTCACTAATAACCAGAGACCTCCACTTGGACAGCACGTCTCTGTCCCACAGTCCGCTCAGTGTGGTCAGGGTTGGCTGGGGGTCACTGTCCCGAGCATCATCTGTGCGCACGCGAATGCCGCTTTCCTCGTGTGTGGGGACCGCCAGGAGCACACCGGACTCCTCAAACGTCTCTCTCACTGCACATATCCTGAAAGCCACGTCTCCGGGGATCGGGGATCCCAGCTGCGCTCTGTCAGTGGCGAAAATGGGCGGCCTGGTCTCCGGCGGCTGCTTCACGACTCCAATGCCGTAGTTGGGCGCTTTCGTGAAGGACTGAAAGACCTCCTGCCAGTCGCTGGAGAAGTCAGACGCGTCCGCCAGCCCCCCGGGAAACACGTAGGCATTGGGCATGAAGCCGCTGCTGCCGCTCCGTTTTAGCAACAGCACTTGATAATCAAAGGCGGATATGTGCGCTATGTCAGAGACTTTCTCCAGACCTGTTTTAAGAGAGTCCGCGCTCTGAGCGCGTCGCAGGCCGGCCGCCAAGATCACCGTCGCCGCCTCCCTCCAGTGTTTCAGCGCGGTGTTCATCCTGGCCCTCGCTTACTTGCTCACAGTTACTCCAGTGCCCTATCCCGGCAACTTTCGACTTCGGTCAACTAACTAATCACGCGATGATGGCGTGAAGGACAGCACAGAGAAAATAACTGCATAGTCTGTACTTGGTGATTGGCGCCATCTATGGCAAGGGATGAACGCTTGGTTTTCTTCTTCTTCTTCTTTTTCTGTTTATTGGCGGTTGGCAGACTAGCTTATTAGTGCATTACCGCCACCATCTGAACTGGAGTGTGGAGCATCGATGCATGTATATGTGTCCTATATGAATATATATCACACTAAATAATAATAAAGGCGGATATGTGCGCTATGTCAGAGACTTTCTCCAGACCTGTTTTAAGAGAGTCCGCGCTCTGAGCGCGTCGCAGGCCGGCCGCCAAGATCACCGTCGCCGCCTCCCTCCAGTGTTTCAGCGCGGTGTTCATCCTGGCCCTCGCTTACTTGCTCACAGTTACTCCAGTGCCCTATCCCGGCAACTTTCGACTTCGGTCAACTAACTAATCACGCGATGATGGCGTGAAGGACAGCACAGAGAAAATAACAGTGCATAGTCTGTACTTGGTGATTGGCGCCATCTATGGCAAGGGATGAACGCTTGGTTTTCTTCTTCTTCTTCTTTTTCTGTTTATTGGTGGTTGGCAGACTAGCTTATTAGTGCATTACCGCCACCATCTGAACTGGAGTGTGGAGCATCGATGCATGTAGCTGTCCCAGTGTTGTTGTGATTGGCGAACAGCTTAGACGGTGTTTCAGT